TGGCCATGCCGGGCATGATGAACATAAACCTAAGTACCTCCCACATTAAATGTAATAATTAACTCACTGTATCTATACGCCCACCCAATACTAGACAAACCAACAGTTATATGTATTATTAGTTTTATTTTAAAAGGTTTATTATCTATCAAAACAAAATTATAAATATATATGCGTACAAATTATAAAAATGCTTGTGAGAAAGAAACTTTGCATTAGAGCAAGTAAAGCGATATAATGAATTGCCAAAAAAAGAAAAATTCTGCTTTTTCATTCGTGGACATGGCCAGAAAAGTGCCGTTCAATGCACTCATGTGTGTGGGAAAACTACGGACATTCGCATCGCGCAAGCGGTGGCTGCATGGATTCGAAAACAGCATTTTACTAACTAGGGGTAACAAAGGTCTGGAACATCTTCAAATCAGTGAACTCCTAACCCTCCCATGACCAAAACCACGACCACGATCATACGGTTACGGATTCCGATAGTCATGGTTGGCACAGAAAAGAAAACCCACTGTGTAGCTTTGTGCTTAATAACAAGCAAACATATAAGTTGCTAACTCTGCGCCGCCTGGTGGCCCAGAGGCAAGTCTGTGGGCTTGTAACGCTAAAATCTGGTTTCGATTTCCGCGGTGGGCAGAGCACAGATAGCCAGCCCATTGTGTAGCTTTGCGCTTAACAACAGACAAGGTAACTCCTCAGCTAAACACAAATATCCACTTTCGTAATTTACACGTAATACAAAGGACAAAGACTATCTATAGTGGTTATCTTAGATTACTAATGAAGACACTGAACATCACCTTTAAAAACAGGACAAGTTTTCACATCGAAGAATGATATTTTTAAAAGACTGTTTTAAACATTTATTGATAAGAAACACGTTTTTGTTCGTTTGTTAATATTTGATTCAGGGACATTTATACGATTATTCAAAATGCATTATAGATGTGAAAAGAGGAAGCACTGCTGCCATCTAAGGCCAAACACCGTCAATAAAGGATATTAACATTATTATTTTTAGCAGCGGCATAGCGGCTCATAGAATGGTTTTGAGTTTTTCTTTTTTCAAGTAAAAACTTTTAGCTCGTAGCTCCGCCATCTCTTGACCAATTTTGGACTATGGAGGTCAAACCCTTTCGATTGATGTAACTGACCACGCCCAAGGTCTCATAGATTAATTTACTCTAATCTTGCCTAAAATAATTTCAATTCGTGGGTAAGCTGGTAGAGATCCTGATGAGTCATAACATCGAATCGAGCATGCGTGCACCCCACGCTTGGTAGTGCTTACGCACAAGAATATAGCTAATAAAAAGGAAAATAAAGGTCTCATTGATAAATTTATTCTTATCTTGTCTAAGAGAATTTCAAGTGCCGCAGCTATTGAGGATTCCCTTTTGTTTTTTATACTTACGTGATTGATTGTATAATGCTTAAAATTTAACATGCTATTTTTGCATCAGGCAAAAACAGTAAATTAAAGAAATAAGCATAAACATTAGAGTATTTTCTTTCTACTTTACATTACTTTATGTGATGTGTTCCTCGACGGATTAAACTCGTACTTGTTAATTTATTTTTTATTTATCATATTTCATTTTTAGAGGTTTGGTTTGATCGTTGTTAAGCGTAAAGTTACATAATGGGCTATTTTTGCTCTGCCCACTATGAGTATCGAAATCTGATTTTTAACGTCGTAAGCCTGCAGACTTACAGTTGAGCCACTGGGATGGGGAGGGGGCATTTGTAGAGATATATTGCAGTAAATTAATAAGATAATTACAAGATAATTTAAGGTTATTAGTTTATATTAGTTCAGAAACCTAACTGTTTATACATGCAAAACGACTGTTAGAAAAAAACGTTTTCTTTTAATCGTGAAATACTCTAAATCTCTAGCTATATCATTTACAAAAGGCAATTGGATGCTTTTTTTTATTCTGAGTTCAGCCTTAACGACAAAGATCAAAGCTATGTATATATTTCATTCTAAAATTGGTAAGTAACATAATTAAACATTTTAAAGGGTTCGTGAATGGCATAATGGAAATGCTACAATTGGCTCATAGTTTATGGAAAAAATAACAATTTTTATTTTATCCGATGCCTCAACGAAACATTTTAGAATACCGAAGAAAACAGGAACTGTAATTTATTCAAGTCTTATCTTACTTACCAAACTCTTCACTTAAAGATTAGAGGTTTAGCAAGTTTGCAAAACGCCACGAGAAATGGGGAGGGAGGTGGAACTTCAGGAAACAAGATTGACAAGTAATAGTGACGTTCAACCTTGAAAGACGTGGCCCATTCGTTAATATATAACAAACTAGAGTAGTCGTGGTTAATCGTCTGAAGATTGCAATACTTGAAGGTTTCCCACAAGCGCGGTCCTAATAGGAAGAAACCGTGGTAGGAAAGCATCACGTTGTGTCTGGTATTCCATTGATAAATTGCATTAAGTGGTCTGTGAAACCTGAAGGAGAATCGCAAGGTTTTGCTCATTTTTGATAAAAATATCTTTGGCTAGGATGGAAGCACCGAATACACAAAACGCGTAAGTTGTTTGATATATAAGATATATTTTGCATATGTTTGATCAAAGCATTTATTTTGGTTCCAAAATTAATATTAAAAACCAGATTAAATGTTTAAAAGTATCCACTATGTAATAATTACAAAAAAAGAAGAATAATTATATTGTCTATGGTACTTACTTCGAATAACATATAGTTGGTTAAAATAGAAATATTGTTATAGTTTACAGTCTTTTCTCGTATTGTTATTATTTCGAACAAGCGACGTATGCATGTACCGAGTTGTAGCATCACAACAACTTTTTTTTTGTTTTATGTTCATCTGTGTCAAGACAATAATTTAAAGTAACACGCTGTCGTGTGCAGCAGTTAAAAAATAGTGAAAAACCTACAGTCAATGGAAGAATTTATCAAAAGACTCGAAACTAGATAAATTAGTTTCAACACATTCATGTGTCCTCTTCAGTTTCACGTTGTCTTCATGTGTCGAAACGAGTTTCTCTAATAATTCCAGTCTTTTGATAGTTTGATGTATTGACTGTATAAGTTTTAAATAGACAGGTTATTGAAAATAATTCATAAGAAGGCTAAGAAAATGATTCCTCAAAAATAAAGGGTGGGTTTAAGGTTTTACGTTTCACATTAAGGATGTGTGTGAAACGACAGCGTTGAAGGACCAAATGGTCCCCTATTGTTTGTATGTCAGGATTAATACCTTACGATTAGAACGCACACAGTAGCTGATAAACACTAGGTTAAAAATTCTTCTTTTTTATCTGCTTGCATCATACTATGTTCGATCGAAAAGTTAAAAGATGCAAATGTTCGTTCATTAGTTACTACCGCGTAGTTGAAGCTATATTATTCGTTAAGGGTTTTGTAATGTTCGTTTGTTGTTAAGCGCGAAGCTACACAATAGGCTATTTGTGCTGTGCCCACCATGGGTATCGAGAGCCAGTTTTTAGCGTTATAAGCCTTCAGACTTACCGCTGAGACAGTGCGAGGCTAAGAATCTGTATCATATCGTCATTTTGATAGCATCTGATTAAATTACATAAGAAATCTTACTTAGGTTGTTTTTTTAAGTACATTTTTTCATAGCTTTGTTTGTTTTAGCACAGAACTATATAATAGCCTGTCTGCTCTCTGTCCATCACGGGGGATCGAACCTCGGATGTTAATGTTATATTAGTTTGTTTGCTTGTTGTTGAGTGCAAAGCTACATAGTGGGATAAGTGTTCTGCCCACCGTAGGTATCGAAACCTTATTTTTTTGCATTATGAGCCTCAGACTTATTGCTGAGCTACTGGGAAGGGGCTTTAAAATTGTAATTCAGTAAACTTATCGCTGACCTCATAGCAGTTTTACAAATAGAAATACATAGATATAATACTAAATTAGGTTTACGGTTGTTTGCCTAACCACTGGCTGCGGTTAAAAATGATGATGCTCTTTTTTACTTCCTTATAAATATTCTATTGATTTCGAGTTATTTTGAGAACACAATAGACAACTTGGATTAATACGCTTAGTTTGTTCAATTATTTGCTAACTCGTTGACAGTGAGCTAGACTTGCGTTTGTTTCTCCTGTTGTTATAGAGTCGAACATCGATAGCCTTGATCTCCACTTCTTTAAATCAAAAACATAATCCCCTCTTATTTACGTTTGAAACTTGGTGTAAAAATATTACGCACTACTGCTACTAATAATAAATAATGAAATAAATTAGAAGGGAAATTAATCAGTAACTAATGCATATACATGAAAACATAGCAGTAGATTCGAGCCGGTTAGCAGCCTCCCTATGGTCGGTGGTTTGAAATTAGCGATGGCATCACGCTATCTGGTTGAGCATTGACAAATGTACTACGACATGACTCCATAACTGGTGTAACAATAATCACGTAGGAGTAAGTAATGCCCCAAGTTATATTATTATTATTTGTTTAAAACAATAAAACATTAGGTTGAGACGAACTTGTTTTTCACACGTTTTTCATCACGAAAAAGAATAAAACTAATGAAAAACGAACCACAAAGTATTCAAAGATAACACAATCAAGATTTTTTTCTTCTAAAATTACGTTTTTTGAACATTTTGCCTAAAACAGTGGTATAATTAGGGTTAAGGTTGGTAAGTGAATTGCAGTTTAACGTTTTGAACAGCCTTAATATCCATAAACTGCCGAGAAAAGTTAGTTTACCCCCTTCTTTATTTATTCTTGCAGCACTGGCAAAAACCAGAGCCAGATTAGGACCATAGTGGGGCCAAAGACAATTTCATTTCCATGGTCATCTCTTTCTCCATAAGATCTCTTTTTTGACTTTGACACATCAAAAAACCTATTATCAAATAAAACGATTTTAAAATGTTAAAGTTTCACACATAAAAAATATGTCTATTTAAAGGCTATTTAAAAAGGTTGAGGCATAATCACTGTGGAGATCTTTGAAAACGAAGGATCATAGGCCACTATTTATCCTTTCTTTGCCTTTTGGTTAATTTGGCCCAGGTAAAGGCTACCAGGAAGTCTATATACCGAACCATGTTTTCACGCTATTTTTCGTTAAGTTCTGTGACAGCACCTATCATTGAACACTAGCTTTATTATAGGACAATGAGTGGATTATACATAGAAATCACAAATACAACAATTGTTAAAAATTGTTAATAGGACTAGGTATTGGTATCTGTTGTGGGATTTAAGTTTTCAAGTAGTGTTTTAAGTTTGACTTTTGACTAGTAAAGAGTGGTCTGAGATTAACAACATTAAAAAAAAAACACCTTCGTAGCAGTCACGAGAAACTACAGCTTCTAAGAGAAAACGATAAAAATCCTGTAACCTGAGCGCTTCCTTCTGCGGGAGCAAACTGGGAATCATCGTGTATTTTTGCTCCACTGATGGATTTGGAAACGATTGAGTGTCTAGTAAAGTTAGGTGTTCATGTAGGTACTTGAGTATTAAGTCACCTAAAATTCTTATGTCAGGAAATAAAAAGTATACTTATATAAATTGGATTCATGTTCCTTACGTGGAGATGCATTCATGATGTTAGAAAAACACGTAGGTTCAAGAAGTCTTAATACAAAACGACAAAAACCCTGTAATACGAGCGCTTTCGAAAGGTGGACCTTTCTTCTTCAGGTTCCCAGTTTCAGTTCATGAAAGCTTCTAAGAGAAAACTGTTTTTGTTTTTGAGATTTTTTATGCAAAGCTATAAGAAAAAGAGAGAGAGAGCTAGTTTTAAGCTGACTAGAGAGAAGGCAGTAAGTCAATTTTTAACTTGTAACTTTGTTTTTTGTATCGATCGTGCCTTAGTATTTAGTGTACCCGAACTGTGAATCCAAGTCCATAGTTCGCGTCCAGTTGTCGCAAGCACGCGATCCGCACTTTGGAGCTTTAGAAAACCCACTTTTTGATCAGAATTGACGGTGTACGCCATAAAATAAACCTCTATGCAAATATGGCTCAGTGGTAAATCTGAGGGCTTTTAATGCTACAAATCGGGTTTAGATACCCACGGTGAGCAGAGCACAGATACCCCATTATGTAGCTTTGCGCTTAACAACAAATAAATCAAACTCAGTAAGTTATTGTATGTATAGGTCAGTCGTTAATAGACATACACCTACCTCTCCAGATTGATAACTGATCTAATACAAACTAATGAAGAGTAAAAGCCAACAAAACTTGGCAAGTATTTACAAGTTTTAAAAATCATATATATATATGTATCTCATCATAATAGTCGATACGATACGTATCTAGATACAGAAGTTTTACCAACGGTTTGACAGTTTTGTCTATAATTTATTATCTATATTACTAACACTGTCTTATTTAGCTACTTCACACTTTACAGTGATTTTTCAAATTCTCAGGTTTGATCAACTAAATGGTAGCTGGCAGGAGAAATAAACTTAAAAAGTTAATATTTGTCTATCTATTTTGTTATTGTTAATTTGTTGTGTTACTTTACATGTAATGGTTTGTATAAAAGAAATGAAGACAACATGTAATACTCAACACTCATCTTCCTTTATTGAATCATTAATTTTTAGGAAAAATACTTTATTAGAAATTCTGATATTTTTTTTTGTACAAAATACTTAATGTTTAATGAAAGCTTGCCAAATTTCATGAAAACACATAAATTGTATCGTATCGGACGATGTATCGCTGCAATCGTATTACGGCTTCACGATACGATACGAGTATCGTTTCGCTGTTTCGCCACACCCTTATTTATACGCCTTGAATTGGGTGTGTTTTGCTTTCGATTAAAATAAGTAATTTCTTCCAAACTTAGTACATTTCGTGCTAAAACAGTCAACATTTTACATAGATTCCTTGTTGTTCAATACACTTGTATTTGTTTTATGAGTAAATAAGTTGCACGTGAAAGGAACAAAATATTCTAGTTTTTTTACATAACCCGAAACGTCTAAGAAACTATAACCATACTCGCAATAAAGGCAATAAACATATAGGATCACCCATGTATGGCACACAAAGAAAACTAAAGTACGAACTAAACAGCAGGCTAGTTAAAGTGTATCATAACAGGAAAGGTACCTGAGGAATTTAGGGTCAGATTTTACCTGCATTCGCAAGCCTCACGTGTTAGAATGAAATAAAATAACGAGGTCAAGATTAGGACCGGATATATGCGCCACAAAAACCAGGACAAAAAAAAGTACATAAAAAGAGATTTTTAAAAACATGCCATAAGAAGTGGTGAGTAAAACTTATCTCTTGAAGTTAACATATCAGCCTTCTAACGGCCATGCATATGTACGTGTTTGACAAGCCTAATGAAACCTAAGACCGCTAACTCAATATAAACTATTAAACAAAAAAAAAGCTGTTTG